CTCATCGATGTTTCTAACTCTCTATCTCTCTCCCTTCCTCTCTGCAAAAAATCAATTTAAAAAAATATATATATATATTTAAAAATTATTCTAACTTCAGGAATCCCTCAAGATCTTAATAGTGATAGAGGAGCTCATTTTATAGGACAGATTGTTCAAATGTTTGTAAAATTTGGCATATCTATCAGCATTTCCATTTTCTTATCATCCCAATCCTCTGGATTGGTAGAACAAACCAATGGAAAAATAAATACTCTGTTGGCAGAAATCTGCATGGCATGTATTCTGTCATGGCCCAAGGCCTTCCTGAACCCCCCCTTAACTTTCATTCTACCCCCACTGGAAAACATAAATTTTCGCCTTTGAGATGATCACAGGTCATGCTATGCACCTAGATGAAGAACTGCACCAACCGGTACTTACCAAAGGAGATCTACATTACTGCACGGAGCTTATCAACACCCTACAACATAACAGTGGCTCCTGGGAGACAAGGAATGTCCTCAGAGCCCGAGGCCCGGGTGTTTTGTCTCCTGGAAAAGACACCGACGCAGACTCTGTCCAGTCCCAGCTGGACAGGACCTTATCAGGTCCTTTAGACCAATCTATTACTAAATTCCGTGGCGTTGACTCATGGATTCGTTTCTCATTCAACCAAGATCCCAGACCCTGCAGCGAAATGGGGCTTCCCAGCCCTTCACTGAAACAAACTCTGACCAAAATCCAGGCAACAGGATGAGAAGACAACAGCTGAAGTAAACAACCATTCCCAAGAAAATGGACCAGGCCTGCGTCACACCAGCTCCTACAGAGATTCTTCACTTAAATTTCTTGTCTTTGTCTCTTGTTGGTCTTTGCTTATAAGGCTGCCCTTTATTTTAGAGAAGATTATCAAAATGATAACAAACCCAATTGTTCTTCCTTTTCTTTCTCCCTCCCTCATTTCTCTCTCTCTCTCTCTCTCTCTCGGAAAAATAATATTTTACTAAAACTCTCTGAGAGTGCTGCTAAGGGAGGAAATTTTCACTGATTACTGGATGTCACCCAAACCCTAAATCAATTAAAGACAAATACCTGCCACTTGTTGCTCCAGTTACCAAGTTTAATACGGTTCCCAATGTCACTGTCTTCCCAGATTAACCTATATCGAACTTCACCTTTCAGGTAGAGAGTATTAAAAAACCAGAGCCATCTGCCCCCTGCTTGTTATTATTCATTGTCCCTGTCATCTCCACTGAATTTAAATTTAAATATGCCCCCAATCTCTTCCTTACTTGATCTCTAACTGTCTACGTGACAAATTTAAAAAGAAAGATATAACCAAATTATGTAAACTTGTTGCTTCAATTGGATACAAACCTGTTGGATTTTGAAAAACATGCAAACAGTTTCACCTTTGGTTGGAATAATTCTCGGTCATATTTATGAATGAATCCATAAAGGAGAATCCTCAGGAATGTGTGTGTGGGGGGGTGGAGGTGGGGCTGTTTATGCACCTCCCTGGTTCATCTTATTTTTGGTATTGAAGAAGATACCCCAACTAAAGGATGGGCACATCAATGTTTGGGCAGTTGCCTGTTGGAGCAATTTGTGACTGTTTTATCTATAATAATAAAAGCATAATATGCTAATTAGACCGGATAGCCAAACAACCTTCTGGATGTCCTTCCAGATGAAGCCGCCACAGTGGGGGCTGAGGCAGAGGTGGTTAGGGGCGATCAGGTAGGCAGGTGAGTGGTTAGGGGCGATCAGGCAGGCAGGCAGGCAGGCAAGCGGTTAGGAGCCAGCAGTCCTGTATTAGGAGAGGGTGCAGGCCGGGCTGAGGAACCTGGACCTTTAGTCTATTCATAAGAACCCCAGCCTTTCCATAAGTTCTTTTAACAAAGAACTATTTCCACAGGACCAAAGGCAGATCATGAAGCCCAAAAGGGAAATGGTGGCCTGTAATGATGACAAAATAAGACAAAGTATACTCAGCATGCTAGTCCCTAGTGCCAGAATATATGTCAACAAGACTATAACTAGGAATCTGTCCACCACTATCGGACAAATAGCTGAAGTGACTAAGACTCTTGCTGCCCAACAGAAGTCACTAGATTCCCTTGCTCGAGTGGTGCTGGACAATCCCATAGTCCTTGAATATTTGCTGGCCAAGAGGGGTCTGAAAAAGAGGATTACGCTGGTATTTCAAAGGTGTATTTACATAGATGCACAAGAACAATGGACTTAAATTCTTTTTTTAAAAAATATACTTTTATTGACTTCAGAGAAGAAGGGAGAGGGAGAGAGATAAAAACATCAATGAGGAGAGAGAATCATTGATCGGCCGCCTCCTGCACACCCCACACTGGGGATCGAGCCCGCAACTGGGGCATGTCCCCTGACCGGAAATCCAACCGCAACCTCCTGGATCATAGGTAGACATTCAACCACCGAGCCACGCTGGCCGGGCTGGACTTAAACTCTTTACTAAAAATGTTATATGCAGTGCAGCCAGCTTGGCTCATTGGTTGAGCATTGACCTATGAACCAGGAGGTTGCGGTTTAATTCAGTTCGATTCCGATCCCCAGTGTGGTGCGTGCAGGAGGCAGCCAATCAATGATTCTCTCTCTTCATTTGTTGGAAACTATCTATCGTCTTCACTAGCAGAGAAAAGTAGAGACCCCCAAAAGCTAGTGACCTTTGAAGCCCTAGCAAAGGTCGGAGCTGTGCACCACCCAGTTAATCTAGATAATGGTAGCTGAAGCATCATCCCCACCTTAGTTCACTTAATTCCTTAGATACTTATGTAAATCCTTGTTGATTATTGTTGATTAGATATTCTACCTATTTCTGGAAATTGTCTGCTGATGAGCTAATCTGTGTGTAATTGAAATCTCCTTACCTAAGGGCTACCCCAGATCAATAAAAGGTTGGAGCGGCCTGAGCATCAGTGGAAGTCCCTCTCCTTGAGTTGGACTTGCCCGCCTGGCTCCCCAACATTTCCAAATTGTCTCTTGTCTCTTTTCTCTCTCATTTGTGTGCGGCTCCTCTTTCAGATCCCGAACCCTAAACCACGCAGGACGTGGAAGGAAACACACTCGACACTCATTGATGTTTCTATTTCTCTCTCCCTCTCCCTTCCTCTCTGAAATCAATAAAAACAGTTTTTTAAAATGTTATATGCCGTCCTGGCCAGCATTGCTAAGTGGTTAGAACATCGGCCTGTGCACCAGAGGGTCAGGTTCGAGTCCCAGTCAAGGGGTCAAGGGCACGTACCTGGGTTGCAGGTCCCATGAGTGGGAGGCAACCAACCCATGTGTCTCTGTAACATCAATGTTTCTCTCTCTCTTTCTCCCTTCCCTCTTCCTTCCCGCCCCCCTCCCCTCCACTCTCTCTAGAATCAGTGAAAAAATATCTTCACTCCTTGAGTGAGGACAAAGACAAAGAAAAGAGGTTATATGCCTGTGGCATGACTACTCACCATGACCTACCCAGTTAGGAATTCATGATCAGATCACTCTGTGATGTTACATTTGGTCACTGGACTTGTCGGTTTTATTATAGGACCCTCTTTTCGTTCACAAAAGAAACAACATAAAAACACTATCATCCCCATTTTACTGACAAGGACACTGAGGTCCAGAGACGGGGAAAATGTTGGCAGAAGTCACACTGAGAGCTAGGGACTTACGTTCCAGCCTTCGGATTCCCATCCGTGCTCGGCAGCTACTCCTCCGTCCACAGAGAGTGCCCCTTGGTTCCTGGATTTCTATACGCCCCCTAGAGGCACCCGCAAACCATCGCCATCCTCCACCACACCCCCCGCCAGCAGGGGGCACTGCTGCCATCTCGGACTCCTTGTGGGGTTCACTTTCCCTCCAGTCCCCCAGGCACTTCCGGCAGCGCGGAACTCTGGTGCAGCGGGACGCGCAGCGTGGGGACGCAGGCGCGCCAGGCGGCAGCGGTTGTTTCCGGCCCTGTCGGTGGTCTGAGTTGAGTTTCGGCGGCGGAGAAAGGATGGAGACAATTTTGGAGCAGCAGCGGCGCTATCATGAGGAGAAGGAACGGCTCATGGACGTCATGGCCAAAGAGATGCTCACTAAGAAGTCCACGGTGAGTGGGCCTGGGCAGGGACTCCCTCTGCGCTGGGCCGCGTCCTCGGGGTACCCCCTGAGAGCTTTCCGTGACCCTCAGACTCGCCCGTTCCCGCCTCCCCGGGGGCTCCCTCCGAGGTCCCGCCTGGGTAACTTCATCCCGGGCCCCGCGCCCCCGGGGCCGCTGGTTTAGCCGCTCAGACCTAAGCGGGTAAGCTCCGCCCTCGGGCGGCCTTTCCTGCTCCAGGACCCCGACTAACGGCGCCTGTGTCTTTCTTCAGCTCCGGGACCAGATCAATTCCGACCACCGCACACGGGCCATGCAAGACGTGAGTGCCCCGCTGTCCGCTTCCGTTCGGGGTTGAATGAGCTGGGGGAGGGAAGGAGAGAAGGCGGGGTGCGCGGTGGGGGCCAGTCGCGGGTTTTCTGCCTGGAGATGTCCACGCGGCTGCTAAGCTTGAGGGTGCTGACCTGCCCTCCCTCGCTTCTCCGAATGGGGAGCTCATTCATTCTTCATGGCTCGGAAAGACACCCCTTCTTATATCCTGTATCCCATGGATGTGCAAAGAATAGTTCTGAGTAGTCGATGGCTCAGGCACAGAAGGGACTCTCTCGAGAACGCACCACTTGCAAGTATTTTTGCTACATTGCCTGCATTTGCCTAGAAAATAGTTCAATTTATTACTTTTAGAAAACAAAGCAAAATGTTGATGCTCGTTAAAGCTGAGTGATAGGTACATGAAGGTTTATTTTACTATGCTCTCTTGCGTACGTTTGAAATCTGTTCAGAAAGGAATAAAAGACCTAATCAGAGTTTCTGGATTTTTAGGAGGTAATTGATGTTACAAGTCTCTAGTCCCTTACCTCTAGTCCCATATCTAAATTCCCAAATCCAAAATACTCTGAAAACGCTTTTTGTTTGTTTGCTTTGGTAAATATTTGGTGGCAAAACGTGACATGAGCCGAAACCGGTTTGGCTCAGTGGATAGAGCGTCGGCCTGCGGACTGAAAGGTCCCAGGTTCGATTCCGGTCAAGGGCATGTACCTTGGTTGTGGGCACATCCCCAGTGGGAGATGTGCAGGAGGCAGCTGATCGATGTTTCTAACTCTCTATCTCTCTCCCTTCCTCTCTGCAAAAAATCAATAAAATATATTTTTTTTAAAAGTGACATGAACTTTATCCCACGTAGTAAATACAGTCTTTTTTATGGCCTTTATCCCACGTGGTAAATAATGCATAAGTTTTACTGCAGAACTATTAATATTTGTTCCAGATTCCACCAGGGATATTGCATAATATATGGTACCTTTCCGAACCTAAAAATTCCAAATTTTGAAACAGATCTGGTTCCAAAAGTTTCAGAGAAGGGACTATGTACCTGTTCCATCCTGAGTTTGAATCTACAGGAAGCTGTGTGATGTTTTAGCCTGTGTACTCCTCAGTCAAGCTTCTTGAAGAAATGACAATCATCTTGGATCACCCTTTTGTCTTTGAGGGTCTTAAGTGGGAACTGCTGTTTAACATGTGGCTCTCTGTTATGACTCTCTTAGGGAAAGTTAAGCATCAGTTGCATGTAAATAATAGAAACTCTCTGCTACCCCTTAAATTAACCTGCTTTTAAAACTAACCAGGAATCAGTGCTGTTTATTAAAAGTACGAGAAAGCACAGGCACCAGAATACCGTATCTCAAGGTTTCCCTGGACTTTGACGAGAGAGCCTTTCTTGGTTGCTTAGCTCTATACTTATCCAGAGCGCCTCATCCTGATGGGTTTGTGTTTGTCTTTCAGAGGTATATGGAAGTCAGTGGGAACCTGAGGGATTTGTATGACGATAAGGATGGGTAAGTGACCGTCACAGCCAGTCCAGGAGGTAGTGCTCCATAGGAGCCATGGTTAAAGGACTGATTCTATGCTATATGTTCTCTGGATTTTTTCTGAAATTGCAGGTTACGCAAGGAGGAGCTTAATGCCATTTCAGGACCCAATGAATTTGCTGAATTCTATAATAGACTCAAGCAAATAAAAGAATTCCACCGGAAGCACCCAAATGAGGTACGGCCTTAAGAAGTATTTTCTCCAAACCTGCCTATAGAAAAGTTGTAAGGAAAATGGAGATGTGCCACTTAGATGTTTCTTAAAAAGAACCTGCTGTTTAGCTGCAGGGCGTGTAGAGAACATCCTACAAATCCAGTTCTTTTAGGATCCCCCTCAGCTTTAAGCCAAATCCATTCTGTTCTTGGGGCAGTCCCCAGCCAGTGACTAAACACATTGGGGGTAATACAGCCTGGCTTTCTGCCCAATATGAGACTCTTTTTACGAATAATCTTTGTTCCAGAGTTCCCCATTGGGTTGCTGAAGATTTCATCCTAACTGTATCATGGTCTAGGCTTTTCCTGCCCGGTCCTCCTCTTCCCATTTTAATCTTTCATGGGTATTACTCCCCCCCCCCCCCTAAATTGCTTATGCTCTTAACTCTCTTGAAATCTGCTACCTAGGATCTAATTAACACAAAGGCTGGGTGAAGGTACTCTTACACTCCTACATATGTCTCCCCACCTCCCTTAGAGGGTAGAGTGTAAAGTCTTGCTTACCAAAAGAGAAGACATGAGTACCATTCTGGTGTGTCAACCATATTCCAGCCCTGGTAGAAAGGCGATGAATAAATGGTTATGTAAATGATTGGGAAGATGCTCAAGATATACTAAGTAGGAAAAAATAAGTTTATGTGAAAAATAAAATAACCTTACACTGGCTAGTATGTATGTGCTTGTACAAACACAGGGTGGGGCAAAAGTAGTACTGTAGTTTTTCATATAGAAAATAATACAATAATAAGTAATCATATGCTCACAACTATAAACCTACTTTTGTCCCACCTTGTGTATTTGATACCAAGCAGTGGTTTCCAAATTTTTCTGCATGTTTGAATCTCCTGGGAATCTTTAAAAAGTATCGATACCTCCCGGCCAGCATGGCTTAATGGTTGAGCATAGGTTCAATTCTCAGTCAGGGCACATGCTGGATTGTGGGCTCAATCCCCAGTGTTGGGTGTGCAGGAGGCAGCCGATCAATGATTCTATTCTCTGTCATCATTGATATTTCTATCTCTCTCTCCCTCTCTCTTCCTCTCTGAAATCAGTAAAAATATATTTTTTAAAAAGTACTGATTCCTGCATACAGGTATCGGTACTTTCTGATTTAATTGGTTTCAATGCATCAGGATTTTTTTTTTTAACACTCTATTAGATGATTCTAATGTGCAGCATTAATGGCTGGCATTAAAACTGGTCTGTTAACAGTAGCTATTTATTTGTAGAATTATTAAAGGGGGACTTGGATTTTTCATTTTGTGTTTTTGTATTATTTGAGTTTTTGTGAGCACGTGTTACTTTAGCAATATTTAGAAAATGTAAATGGAAAACAGCAGTAGGCTCTTAATGGAAAATCAAGACCAAATAAAGTGTCAGAAGTCCCACATTCTATACAGCCCATCTTTGTGATACTGCAACTTTTATGTTGAAAAATCCATCTGAGCACTTCTCTTTGTTTTCATCAGATCTGCGTGCCCATGTCAGTGGAATTTGAGGAGCTCCTGAAGGCTCGAGAGAATCCAAGTGAAGAAGCACAAAGTAAGTAGGATTTAATTTCCTGTCCAGCACTAGCAGAAGTACACGTTCATGACAGAGCTGTTTGCCCTCAGAGCCCTAGAAAACAGGGCTCTGGAGAAATTTGTAGCCAGGTTCTCTTACTGGCTTTCTCTATGCTGGTTTCTCTGGGCTAACTTGACCTACTAAATTGGCCTTGGACAAAACATCCAATTTTGTGCTAGCCTAGCTCTGATTCACTGGAGGTAGACCTGGAAAGCTGAGGCCTGTTTACTTTGTGAGCCTAGGGAAGACCTTTGGGTGAAGGGCTGCTTCATGGAACAAGGAGCTAGCAATCCATTTGAAAAGCCAAGTCCAAGAAAATGGTCTTTTAGTGTTTGAATCATTGGTATCTCTGATTCCTTCAGATTTGGTGGAGTTCACAGATGAAGAGGGATACGGGCGTTATCTGGATCTCCATGACTGTTACCTCAAATACATTAACCTGAAGGCCTCTGAGGTAAGACCCAGGAGAGGAGAAAGTGGTTCTGATTCTCAGGGGGGAGTCAGGACGCTGGGCTGGGCTCCTAGACGTACAGCAATTGGTGTCTTCCTTGTGTTTTGTAACTGTTAGAGAAATATTAAAGAGGTAATGTGGGGGGGTTTTCTTAGACAAACAGTATTCAAAGCCCTGGCCTTTTTGGCTCAGTGGTTAAAGCGTTGGTCCGCAGACCAAAGGGTCTCGGGTTCAATTTCTGGTCTAGGGCATGTACCTCGGTTGCAGGTTGGATCCCTGTCCCCGGTTGGGGCATGGTGGGAGGCAACCAATCGATGCGTCTCTCTCACATTGATGTTTCTCTCTTTCTCTCCCTCCCTTTCACTCTCTCTAAAAATCAATGGGAAAAAATATCCTCCAGTGAGGATAAAAAAAGAAAAGCAGTATGCAAAATGTCAGGTTTCTACAGTGAATACAATAAGCATAGTATTTTATTAATACAAGCATATTTTGATTTGTAAAAATAAAAATTTTTAGAAATCTCACATTACTGTGTTAGGCACATATAATACATGGTGCATGGAAGATACAAAACAATCTCACCAGCAAAGGGCTATACAATGTCTTTTTAAAAAGACATTACAAAAATAACTTAGCACAAGGGATGCGATTTAAGGTGACAGTCTCAGAAAGGCCTCGAGGAAGTGTGTAAGTTCCTCTTGGAGTTGTGAGGAAATGTCCCAGAAGTCCAGTGGCTAAACTTTAAGCTCCGTGAGGACAGGCTTCATGTCTGTCTTGTTCTCATATGTATCCATGAACTTGGTCCAAGATGCTCAATAAGTGATTGAATGAGTGAATAAATGGCACCTTCCAGGACCTTATTTTAGGATATAGTGGGTATTAGTATTTAACCAAGTGCCTGGCATGTACGTGTTCAACAAGTATTTCTTTTAGTTTGCTGTTTATTAACTTAATCTTTAATTTGCAGCATTAATTGTGTCTGCTGTTCTCCCCAGTTAGTGTAGGAATTCAGTGATAGAACAGAAAAAGACTAAAATGAGCCAGGCCTTGTTATTTTAATTTCATTTATTGGAGGTTATACTTTAACTTGGTGGAAAAAACTAATGGAAGCTCTGGTCACCTCTCTTTTCCAGAAGCTGGATTATATCACATACCTGTCTATCTTTGACCAGTTATTTGACATTCCTAAAGAAAGGAAGAATGCAGAGTACAAGAGGTAAGCATTACTAGCTTCTAGGCCTCTACTGGATTTGATTAGATTATTTGATGTGAAGAATTGTCGCCTGAAAGGCCTTCATGAATGACTCAGGTTTATTAAAGGATAGGGATTTTGAAGGACGTGGTTTTTAAGCCTTTGTAATATTCTGGTTCTGGAACAATGTGTCTATGAGCATATCTGCAGTCTTATACCCACACTGTTCTTAATTTTGCCTCTGTCTTTGGAGTTTACTGGGAAAAATTAAACTTTCTCAGATTGTGACTGAAGTGAAGTGCTTGGGTCTGATGTATAGATGTTAACTTTTGTTTGTGTTATACCTCTGGTTAGTGATAACATTTTATTTTTACCTGAAGTAAATTAAATTAAAAAATTTTTTTTACTTGAAATCTTTTATGTGTGAGTTTAGACTTTAGTGTTTGGAATTAAGTTATAAGAATAAAAGAAGATAGGAGAGGTCAGAATCAAGATGACATGATAGGAAAAAAGTCAATTGTAAGCTCTTTTTAAAACATAGTATTTAAAAAATATAAGTATATTTTACAGGGTATAACAATATATCAAAAATGGAAACCCTCTTTGCTTTTCTGTAATGCTGTTCGTCTATAGATACTTGGAGATGCTGCTTGAGTACCTTCAGGATTACACAGATAGAGTGAAGCCCCTCCAAGATCAGAATGAACTTTTTGGGAAGATTCAAAATGACTTTGAGAAGAAGTGGGAGAATGGTACCTTTCCCGGATGGCCGGTGAGCTTTAGTGGGGGTGTGGGTGGAGGACATGCCAGAGAATTGAAGTAATTATTTTACTTTAATTCTGAGACTCTACTTCAGGGCTGATCCCTCAGGGTCAGTGGTGACCATGAGGAGTTCTGCCCACTGGGCTAGGTTTTCTCTGTGTACTTTGGAATGAGATTGCTCAGGGTCCACTTGCCATTGGCTAGGCTCAGGATTTTCATCAACCATGTCATTACTGCTGTATTTATCCATTCCTCCTGACCAAGAACAGATAAATTATGTGCTAGAAATCTCTACTACGTATTTTCACAAATCCTGGGGATAAACTTGAGTTTTTCTGAACTCTCAGGAGGAGAATGTGCCGTCTGTTGTTTTTTTGTTTTTGCTCTGCTCTTGTAGGATTTGATTCTTATTTATACACTAGAGGCCCGATGCACAAAATTTGTGCAAAAATAGGCCTTTCTTCCCCCAGGTGCCAGCACCAACTTCCCTCTGGCACCTGGGACCTGTGCTTCCCTCCTAGAGGGAGGCCCCGCCCACCCGCCACAGCCCATGGTTGGTGGCCTGGGCCTCCCTCTGCGGGGTGATCATGGTGTGATGGCCGGGCCCCCAACCAATTGCATTGCACCTGCCTTGCCTGGCCTGGCGCCAGTGGGTGTCATAGCGTGGTCCCGGATGGTTGTCCGGATGGTCCTCCGGATGGTCGTTCCGCTATTCAGCTGTTTGGTCGATTTGCATATTATGGTTTTATTACATAGGATATATATAAGAACAGGGCCAACTGGCACCTGGTAATTTAGCTGGCTTCCTTGCCTTCATTGTAAACCTCGATCTTAAACATTGTGTTGTTCTTCTTGCCAGAAAGAGACAAGCAATGCCCTGACACATGCTGGAGCCCATCTTGACCTCTCTGCTTTCTCCTCCTGGGAGGTATGTTTTCCTTAGCCAGTGTACTGGTCTTGCCTGTTCCCTTCTCCAAGGGACCACTCCATTTCCTGTTTTTAATGCCATGGACTTACTATGGTAAGACACCAGTTCCACACTAGCCAGTGCTCAGTGGTTAGAGCGTAGGCATGTGCCTGAAGGGTCTCTGGTTCGATTCTGGTCAAGGGCACATACCTCAGTTGCAGGCTTGATCCCTAGCCCTGGTTGGGGCGCATGCAGGAGGCAACCAGTTGTTATGTCTCTCTCACATCGATGTTTCTCTCTGTGTGTATCTCCTCCTCCCTTCCACTCTCTCTAAAGAAATTAATGGAAAAATATATCCTCAGGTGAGGATTAACAAAAAAAAGAAAAGAAAAAGACCAGTTCCTGGGACCAGGCATCTAAAAGAATATGGAAAAAGGGAAAGGGAAAAAAAACCCTTAAAACTAAGTATTTTGAAAACTGAAATAATCATTCAGGCTCTGTTCAGCTGTAGTGGAGGTAATGGAACACTGCCAGTGTGGTTATTTGTGAACTTGACCAGAGTCCATCCTTTGGAGAGGGTGAGCTTACTGCTAGGAGATTGACTGTGGAATGTATGGTGTTGCCACAGCTTCGAGACTAGCCATACCACCAGCCTCCTAAGACCTAAGTGTGAGCATTTGTTGTTTATCAGACTCTATTTAAATAAAATTGTAACTTGTCTCTTTTTTATGTAGGAGTTGGCCTCCCTGGGTCTGGACAGATTGAAATCTGCACTCTTAGCTTTAGGCCTGAAGTGTGGCGGGTAAGAGACTGGTTTTTCCTTCATAACTGTCCCGTTTACTGTGTTTGCACGAACTTCTGCATGGCTCTGATACCATTTTCCCTCTCACCCCCCTCCCTCCCTACTACAGAAATAAGCAGGTCTGTATGATAAAGTAATCCTGGAATCCTTTCCCCTGTCTCCTTAGAACCATAGAGGAGCGAGCCCAGAGGCTATTCAGCACCAAAGGGAAGTCCCTGGAGGCGCTGGACACCTCCCTGTTCGCCAAAAACCCCAAGTCAAAGGGCACCAAGCGGTGAGTGGCTGGGGTAGCACCTCTGCTTACAGTTTAAGATGTTATTTCCATGAAGCCTGCTTATCACCCTTACTGATCCATAGAGGTCCATTCTGCTCCTTTTCTCTGCTGAAACCGGGCACAGTTTGTACTCAGGTGGGCAAGTGGTGACCTCTCTCATGTTGAAATTGCTCTGGGTACCTTTTTTTTTTACATTAATAGCCTATGGATAGGTTCAAAAAATATTTTCCTAAGTATATTTTTCTTTTTTTTTAAAGATAAGTTTTTATTGACTTGAGAGAGATAGAAACATCAATGATGAGAGAGAATCATTGATCAGCTGCTTTCAGCATGCCCCCTACTGGGGATCAAGCCTGCAACCCAGGCATGTGCCCTGACCGGGAATCGAACCATGGCCTCCTGCCTGGTTCATAGGTCGATACTCAGCCACTGAGCCATACCTCCAGGCCTAAGTCTATTTTTCTTAATGACAGTTGAACCTGTTCTTGAGCCACATGCTTATACAGGGTATTTTTTATTTTATTTTCTAATTCACACAACAACGCTGAAAAGTACTTGTCATCCTAATTATTTTTACAGTTCATAACTCAGAAAAGTGACTAAGTAGCAGCGTCAGGATTTGGGCCCAAATCTGCCTGTTCTGGAGCTCGCTTTCTGTACCGCATTTCCTTTGTAGATTATAATGATGGAAATTTAAACATCCGGGTATGTCCTCCACTTTCTGGAATGAGGCCAAAGGAAGCTTCCATGCATTTCCAGAAATAACCTCAGGACTTCTGTCAGCGCGTCCTGAGCTGAACAGAGCATTTGCTTTCACAGTGTATTTCTTGTGTGTTTATGATTTTAATGCACCTGTCAAATAAATGCTCTCAGGTACAGAGAACAAGGCACTGGTTAAAAGAACCCTTGAGTGATACAGCTTGTTTTTTGTTGTTAGAGATACTGAGAGGAACAAAGACATTGCTTTCCTGGAAGCCCAGATCTATGAATACGTGGAGATTCTTGGGGTGAGTAACTGACTCTGGTGAGGGCTGTAAATGCTACAAGGTATGGGAGTAGGAGAAATATGAACTGATAGGATTTTTTTCTAGGATTGAAGGAGGAGGAGTAGGTGTTAAACTAGTTCAGCAGAAAATAGAGTTCTCTCAGGGGACTTGGCCCTTTGGTGAGGTCCTACTCTGTTCCTAGGTGTCTGTTGTTAGGTGATATTCCCAAGCCTGCCCAATGCCCATGAGGCTGGACAGAGAGAACAGACTCCCCTCTCAGTATAGTGTTCAGAGTGGTGCGGATTCTTCACCTGAGCTCCAGATTATACCCAGGGGGTAACCCAAGAAGTAGACACTCAAAAGGCAAATAAGAGAAAGGCTAATCCCAGCAGCTTTTCAGGTATAACTGACTATGAAGAGGCATTACATGTTTACACGATTATGAGAAACTCATTGGAGCTGGTACAAAGCTGTCTGTCTGTAAGCTGTCCCTTGAATATTCTTTCAAGAAGGAGCTGGAGGTTGGTTGGAGTGGAAAAAGGCCTAACCCAGTGGTCGGCAAACTCATTAGTCAACAGAGCCAAATATCAACAGTACAACGATTGAAATTTCTTTTGAGAGCCAAATTTTTTAAACTTAAACTATATAGGTAGGTACATTGTTATTAACTTAATTAGGGTACTCCTAAGGCTTAGGAAGAGCCACACTCAAGGGGCCAAAGAGCCGCATGTGGCTCGCGAGCTGCAGTTTGCCGACCATGGGCCTCACCTGGCCGGGATGCTTATCTCAGAAAGAAGAGGGAGGAGTCGGAGGAAAATCGTTCTCTTTCAGGAATTGAAGGTGGAAGGAAGGGCAGCACTCATCCAGAGAAGATGGCCAGTGTCCCTGCAGTAGACCAGCCTGTCTGCCAGTGTCTGCTTTCTGCTCTCAGAGCCTTTCCCTTTACAGATGCTCACATGGTGCATTGAGTGATTGGCTCTGGCTCAGATAGCTTGTTTATGTATCTTTGTCAGTTGCCATGGATGTTTTCATTCTGCTGTTTGAGGACCACATATAATAGCTTCAAATCTAGGGTCACCTGTTGGTTCCCTCTATTACAGCTGCTTTCACTAAAAGGAGGCTAGCCAGACATTGGACACTGGGGACAGTTGTGTTTTCCACAGTGAACTTGGGCGTTGCTATGTTGGCAGCCGTTCAAGTTGCCAGTCCTCTGAGGATGACTGGGAGGCTAATTTGTGTCCTTGACATAAGGTGTATCCACTACATCCTCCCTCCTTTGAGAGCATTTTGCTTTCTCTGTCAGAAGGTGGCGCCATTCTCTTTGGAATTCCAGAGAAACTGGTTTCCAGTAGTCGATCTCTTTAAGTCCTGATATGATTTTTATCCGTATCACCATTTATTCACATCTGTTGGTTTTCAGACATTGTGTTGAATCTTTGGGTGCAGTAGTGAGTATGACACAGCCTTCTGCCCTTGTTGAAATACCCGCTTTGTGAGAGACAGTTAAGTGAGATATGCTGTAACATATTGAGATTGAGTTTTCTAAGTAGAAGGAGGAAAAATATTTCAGGTAGAGGAAATGGTAAGCATGAAAAATTTGGTGAGTTATTTTAGAAATTTGGACCTTGTCCTTTAAACAGTAGAAATCCAGTAAAAGTTCTTTGTGCTGAGTGTACCATTAGGGTGGTTATTTTAAGCCGATAAATCTGGGAACAGAATGGATGCTGGACTGGAATGAGGAGAGACTCAGGGCAAGTTAGAGGCTTCTCATCTTAGTGAGGGCGTTACCAGAGGGAAGGGGGGAAAAGGACTGGCTCAGGAAAGAGTTGAGGGACTTTGTTTTCTGTCGTTCTGTGGTAGTCTGTGGCCTTCGGTGAGTAATTTAGGCAAGTGACACAGAACCTTTGACTTTTTCCTTTGTGATCAGGGAAGGCCTGCTGGTAGGAGCTGAGACACAAAGGCAGAGTTTCCCTTTATTCTACAAGAAAGAAAACCTTGTCCGTGGAAGCGAGGGGTCAGCAAGGGTTGCGGGAAAAGAGGAAGTTTGCCTTCTTGTTTTTCACTACTTTTCTCTGACTTCCCTTTTCATTTATGGACCTGACTTAGGAATAGCGACATCTCACTCATGAAAATGTCCAACGCAAACAGGCAAGGACAGGAGAAGAGCGAGAAGAAGAAGAGGAAGAGCAGATCAGTGAGAGTGAAAGTGAAGATGAAGAGAACGAGATCATTTACAACCCCAAAAACCTGCCCCTGGGCTGGGACGGCAAAGTAAGTCCCAGCACGACCGTCCTTCTCCCCATCCCCCATGTTGGAAGCAGATGCAGACACTCCTAAGACTGTTTCTTCTCCCATTTCTTTCAGCCCATTCCCTACTGGTTGTACAAACTCCACGGCCTAAACATCAACTACAACTGTGAGATCTGTGGAAACTACACCTACCGAGGCCCCAAGGCCTTCCAGCGGCACTTTGCTGTAAGGGATTCAGAGTCGTTTCTCCTGGAAACAAAATACAAAACCTGAGTCTTAGCGAAGAGGACAGGAGCAGCCTGAGAGGGTCACAGCTTAGAGAATCACGGAGGATTGGGTCCAAAGTCCGGCCTGTGGTGCCAGGGCTACCCTGTATGACACCCGAGACCATTTGTGGAGAATTCTGTCTTAGGTCAATCTCTGACTCCTTAGTCATTTCTCTACCCCATTGCTAATAGGACCAAGGAAGGGGCTGACTGCCTTCTTCGAGTCTCTCTTTTTTTTTTTTTTTATCCTCACCCTAGGACAGCGATTCTCAACCTGTGGGTCACAACCCCTTTGGGGGTCGAACGACTCCTTCACAGGGGTCGCCTAAGACCATCGGAAAACACACATATAATTACATATTGTTTTTGTGATTAATCACTGTGTTTTAATTATGTTCAATTTGTAACAATGAAATTGGGGGTCACCACAACATGAGGAACTGTATTAAAGGGTCGCGGCATTAGGAAGGTTGAGAACCACTGCCCTAGGATATGTTTTGGTGTTTTTGGTTTTTTTGTTTTGTTTTGTTTTTATTGATTTTAGAGAGAGAAGAAGGGAGAGAAAGAGAGAGAAACGTTGATGTGAGAAACACCGGTCAGGGCTCCTTCTTTGAGTCTTAAATGGGCCTTTGCCTTTTGAAACAAAAAACTAAAGGGATGATATTTATCAAGCTATTCTTGAGACAAGGCCTTATCTGGGTGGTACTCCAGTAAGTGGATTCACCCTTGTTTTGTTTCGGTCTTCACACCTTAGTACTTGGAAGGAATTTTTACAGAATGGAAAAGACTTGCGAGACCAAGGAGGCACATTTGTGTGAACTCCCTCCCTCCTGCAGACATACGTATTGCTAATTGGTCCTGGGTTTTTTCTGCTGAGCCCCTGAGTAGTCTCTGAATCTTTCTCAACACCACTTCCAACGAATTGGAATTGGCATCCCTGAGCCAAAACTCTCATTGCGTCAGCCTCGCTCCCTGCTCTCTTTCTATCCTTGCTTGTACCTGATAAACAGTCTCCTTTACTTAAAAAGGTGGCACTGACCTGCTCCCAGGAACCCTCAATCATACTGATGGTGCGATTGCATGTGAAGTGACTAGAGTTGTGATGTTTTTCTGTGGTCTTGACACAGGTTTTGTCTGAAAGACTACAGGATCTGGGATTTAGATTTCAGGAGAAGAGGTCAGTGCCCCTGACTAAATAGTCAGGTGTTGCATATTTTAAACATTCTTGCGGCACACCAGATGAAAATCACTGTTCATCATGAACTTTAAGACAGTAAGGTCACTTTCGCCAATAATTCCCATAGGTTGTACCACATTTACTTCTTGTTCGAGAGTATCTGTTATTCTAAGAGGTCTTTGGTTTATTTGATTCAATGTTTCTTTTACAGGAAAGCAAAGATGATAGTAAATTTGCAATGGAGGTGTGTACAGGTGGTCCAGAACCAAAATTCTAGTTTGGGGCAAGCAAACGCTTCAAGAGCAGTCATCCAGGGGAAACCTAATGTGGGGGAGGGAAATGGGGGAAGATTGTAACACTGTGTAACCAGTGAATACTCAGTCTGCCCTTTTCTCCCCCGCAGTGTGGGCCAAGCTGAAACTGCAGAAGGCATCAGAACGATGGCAGCCTGACACTGAGGTGGGTGCTAATGTACCAACAGCTCTTTCTCTCTTGAGAAGAGTCCTATGCTGAGTATAAAACAGGGCTTTTAACCCAGGTCTCTGAATGCTATATGCAAGATTTTGAGTGAATGGGCATATGTATATTTTCCTGAATTGATTTAAATATGTTAAGCACCCCTGATAGGAAGGAAAAAATAGTACTGGTTTCAGGAAGTTTATTTTCTGAGGGACAGATCAGATACACAGAAACACAGCAGCAAAACACCTTTTGGAGAAAGAGCGAAGGGACGCACGTCAGGGAATGTGTTACAGCACCAGTCAGGATTGCTTTTATCCATTATGGTCCATTCTGGTCTGCAACTCCCTCCAGCTTAACCAAGTCTCATTGTGAACCCTTCCCAAACCTTGGACCTCGCTCTTCCTATCCTCATCTCTGCCCTGACCCAGCCAGAACCCAGCGTGCCATTCACACACTGACCACGACACCAACAAGAATAGGCTCCTGACCACATGTGATAAAATCCTCCAACTCAACACTATGGAAACGTCTCTCCTCTAAAAATAAAAATCACAACTTCTCTCCTTCTGAACCTATTTTACTGGCCTTCCTCTCACTAAATTTTCCTGCCTTCAGGACCCATCATTTCCTCTGATTAATCCTTACAGCCTCTCAAGGCCAAGAGCCCCATCTCACCACCAACCCCACTCACCACACACACACACAAACACACACACACCACCCTTCCCAGGGTCCAGCCCCTTCTCTGCCAAAGGGAGAGAGGGCCCCCCCGAGAGTGACAAAGGCGCCTCTGTTTCCTCAGACCTGACAGCCCGGTCCCATGACCTGTGCCCGCTGACACACTCCCTCCTCATGGGGCCCAGCCTCCTCAAACCCACATCCGGGCTCTCGAGAGCAAGGCAGCCGCAGCCTAAGCCCCTGGAGGCCAGTCACAGTTCTTCCTTCCGATGCCCCAGCAAGAGAGCCCTTTTCCTCCGTCCATGCTGGGGAGCTGTTTAAGGGGCGCACGTGTCTAAGGCTAGTCCAACCAGGCTATGTACTCCATCCTTTCCTTGGGCATTGGGATCAAACAACATCCTTAATTTCTTAAGAGTCAGCATTTGTCTAGCATCCTCTCATCACTATGCATTACTTTGCAACTTTTCAGTTTCCACATCTCCCCAGAAGCATGCAAACCCTTTGGGAGTCAAGGAGAGAATGCGCACAGTACCCGCTCTTTACACAACCCTCCAGGCGCCCCTTCCTTGAAGATGAGGCACCTTATGGTCATGTGCTCCTGATGACCTTCCAAAGAAGCCCTGCTGGCACACCTCTACCCACTGGTGCCTTAATGCCCTGAGTTTTGTCCATTTTCTCTCAAATTCTTCATTCCCAAGTGTCCTGACTCAGAAGTTGCGAGAGAGAAACTCCAAGGCGTGGAAGGAGGAAAGTGCCTGAGCCCTGGGGTGGGATTCGGGCTCCTCATCAATCCTTCTACCCCAAGACAGTTGGTTCCATTCGAGGATAGCACCGTTCTCAAGAGGACAGGCACCTTGGGGAAACGCCCTGCGTGGGACCAGCTGCCTCGGAAAAACCACCTCCCTGACCCCTGCTCATTGATCCCACTGGTACTTGCTTTCCAAGTAGCTCCTACTTCATGCCCCCAAACCAGTCACAATTTAAAACTCTTTAGGAAGAAATTAAATAACTATTCTCCATTGGAATAATACAGAAGATCACACTTACCTTTTGCCAAGACTGGAACAGTTGTTCAAGCGTTCCCTCCCACCCACCCCATGCCAATTGCATTTGAATTACTTTGAAATACCATCTGGGAGAAATCATCATCACAAATATTTAAGGTTCCAATTCATAAAAAGGCAAAGAAAGAAAACACACACATACACCCTACCTGTGATTTGGGAACTGTCCAGAAGAGCATTCCTAAACACCCTCAAAACACTTGCTGGCTCCATCTCCTTCCTCCCCCAACAGTATTCTACCTTGTCTGCACGAGTCTCAGTGAGAAAGGAAAAGAACAAAGTGAAACTCTCCTAAGAACTCATGTGAGAAGGACGATGCCTATGCTCACTGCTTCTTCAGTGGCACAAGGAGGCCGGCCGGAGGAATCATTCAAAGTAGAGTCAAACCTGTGGGGTGCGAGTCCACGCGTCTCAGATCCCTGCACCCTACGCAGAGCTAGAACGGGTCACTTACCTGCAAGCTGTTACCAGGGGGACTGGGTCTCCCAGGCCTGGTCTGCGTCTTGTGAAAGTTACATACCTCAGAAGGTTAAAGCTCAGATCAAGCCTCTTGGCGAAATGTTCACAGTCCCTGCCGAGGTGCTCTGGAATTTCTCTGCAGTCCTGGCCTATGTAGGACACTTGCGTTCCACTGACCATGAGCCCAGCCATGGCGACGGGGCACACGACCCAAGCGCAGAGCTGGGAGCACAGAGCCAGGGTTGGATTCTTGAATGTTGAACAAAGACTGTGTGTGACAGGGCCCCGCATATTATCAGGGCCTCCTGATAGGAAGGAAAAAATAGTACTGGTTTCAGGAAGCTTATTTTCTGAGGGGCAGATCAGATACACGGAAACACAGCAGCAAAACACCTTTTGGAGAAAGCAAAGGGACGCACGTCAGGGAATGTGTTACAGCATCCAGGGACCTATTCGGCTTCCTGTTTGTCTGGCAGTGGGAGCTTTTACTGCCACTGGCATCTTCCTTGCAGGCTGTGTTCTTGTAGTTTATCTCTCATCTGTCGTGTTTGCACTTTCAGCTGGTTAGATCGAGAAGTTTGAAATACCATCTGGGAGAAATCATCATCACAAATATTTAAGGTTCCAATTCATAAAAAGGCAAAGAAAGAAAACACACACATACACCCTACCTGTGATTTGGGAACTGTCCAGAAGAGCATTCCTAAACACCCTCAAAACACTTGCTGGCTCCATCTCCTTCCTCCCCCAACAGTATTCTACCTTGTCTGCACGAGTCTCAGTGAGAAAGGAAAAGAACAAAGTGAAACTCTCCTAAGAACTCATGTGAGAAGGACGATGCCTATGCTCACTGCTTCTTCAGTGGCACAAGGAGGCCGGCCGGAGGAATCATTCAAAGTAGAGTCAAACCTGTGGGGTGCGAGTCCACGCGTCTCAGATCCCTGCACCCTACGCAGAGCTAGAACGGGTCACTTACCTGCAAGCTGTTACCAGGGGGACTGGGTCTCCCAGGCCTGGTCTGCGTCTTGTGAAAGTTACATACCTCAGAAGGTTAAAGCTCAGATCAAGCCTCTTGGCGAAATGTTCACAGTCCCTGCCGAGGTGCTCTGGAATTTCTCTGCAGTCCTGGCCTATGTAGGACACTTGCGTTCCACTGACCATGAGCCCAGCCATGGCGACGGGGCACACGACCCAAGCGCAGAGCTGGGAGCACAGAGCCAGGGTTGGATTCTTGAATGTTGAACAAAGACTGTGTGTGACAGGGCCCCGCATATTATCAGGGCCTGAAGACTTCAGCTAACTTAAAGCAATTAGCTAGGAAGGAAAAGATGATTACTTGAGCATCTATATGCTAGGCCAGAGCTAAACACTTCCTCATGTATTGTCTCAGTTACGATATCTTTAACCCATCTTGGCTTCAACTTTCTCTATGGGATATTTCTTGTAATCTTGTCAAGTTTAGAGATTGTCCTATGTGATGGAAAATGTGGAAGCATATGGGAAGTTAGTAAGTGCCTTCTCATCTTCATCTATTAATATTTTATCATTTTCCCTCTCTGGCAGCAGACCTGTCTTATCTGTTCCACGTAGCACTTTGTCTTGAGAGTACACCTTCCTGACACCGTTCTTAGAGATTCAGCCAATCAGTGTTTCTCTCTCATCAATGTTTCTATTTCGCTCTCTCCTCCTCCCTTCCTCTCTCCTAAAATCAATTTAAAAAATACTTAAGTCCTAGCCAGTTTGGTTCAGTGGCTAGAGCATCGGCCTGAGGACTGAAAGGTCCCGAGTTCAATTTCGGTCAAGGGCACATGCCTTCTTTCTCTATGGGATATTTCTTGTAATCTTGTCAAGTTTAGAGATTGTCCTACGTGATGGAAAATGTGGAAGCATATGGGAAGTTAATAAGTGCCTTCTCATCTTCATCTATTAATATTTTATCGTTTTCCCTCTCTGGCAGCAGACCTGTCTTATCTGTTCCACGTAGCACTTTGTCTTGAGAGTACACCTTCCTGACACCGTTCTTAGAGATTTAAGTCGTCTTTCTCTGGTTTTGTATCTGTCCCGTTGTGTACATGTGATCACTCCCTCTGAAGCTGTGATGGCTTCTGTAGATGTCTTCCCCCTTTTTGTCTTCATTGGGATAATTTGTTATTGAACCGTCAGAATTCTTCTTTTAATGTCTCCAGTTTTGTTGAACCATCTTATCTGTCAGACTCTTTGACATGATACTTCACCTTTTATTTTCCCCTCTAAAGTCTTTGAAATATATTCACCAGACTTTAAGTAAACATATTCGATAACATCTGGTGTTCTCTTTTTCTTCTGTCACAGCGATTTTCAACCTTTTTCATCTTATGGCACACAAAAACTAATTCTATGGCAAAACAAAAATCAATTGTATTTTTTTGCTGATCTGACAAAATAAAAATAGGTATAATTTTGATTCATTCACACCAGACAGCTATTGTTGTGTTGGCTGTTGTCCTTTTTTTATTTTACAGTCTAAGGGAGAAGAGGTCAGTGCCCCTGACTAAATAGTCAGGTGTTGCATATTTTAAACATTCTTGCGGCACACCAGATGAAAATCACTGTTCATCATGAACTTTAAGACAGTAAGGTCACTTTCGCCAATAATTCCCATAGGTTGTACCACATTTACTTCTTTGTTCGAGAGTATCTGTTATTCTAAGAGGTCTTTGATTTATTTGATTCAATGTTTCTTTTACAGGAAAGCAAAGATGATAGTAAATTTGCAATGGAGGTGTGTACAGGTGGTCCAGAACCAAAATTCTAGTTTGGGGCAAGCAAACGCTTCAAGAGCAGAGTCATCCAGGGGAAACCTAATGTGGGGGAGGGAATTGGGGGAAGATTGTAACACTGTGTAACCAATGAATACTCAGTCTGCCCTTTTCTCCCCGCAGTGTGGGCCAAGCTGAAACTGCAGAAGGCATCAGAACGATGGCAGCCTGACACTGAGGTGGGTGCTAATGTACCAACAGGAACAGCATTAAATGATAGAGCCCCCCGGCATCACCAGGTAGAGGGGAAAATGGTCCCCGGGCCCAGCTGGTGTGGTTCAGTGGTTGAGTGTCGACTCTTGCACCAAGAAGTGGCAGCTTCGATTCCTGGTCAGGGCACATGTTCGGGTGGGGCTGTGCAGGAGGCAGCCAATCAGTGTTTCTCTCTCATCAATGTTTCTATTTC